CCCCGCCGATCGATAACTCACTCGCGGCGATCTAACGCCGTTTCGCCGGCCCCGTTTCGACAATCGGCGATATCTTGCCTCCTAACGGTGCCCCGGCCCCTGCCTCGTTACGCAACCAGCCTCGTGATCGGGTTTCGAGCGCGATCGACCTTCGCTACGTGCTCTCTCTCTCGAACTCGAAACGAAGATGGGGAGGATGAGGAAGAAGCGAGATGATTTGGGGAGAATTTTTTTATTTTTTTTTTTTGGAAGAAGAGTTGCATTTATTTTTTGGATCGAACAATTATTGAACATTTGATCGAATATTAGGAGATAAAAGATGTGAGGAATTTGGGGAACTTTTTTTTTGGAAAAAGAGTTGCATTTAATCGAATTTGATTTGAATTAGGAGAAAATAGGAAAAATAAATTTAAAAAAATAAATAAATAAATAAATAAAATTAAAAAAATAAATAGGAAAAAGAAATTTGGAGAACTTTTCGAAGAAGAGCTATGTGAAAATTATTATTTGGATTGAATAATTATTGAACATCGATCGAATTTGAATATTAGGAGATAAAAGATGTGAGGAATTTGGGAAATTTTTTTTTGGACGAAGTTGCATTTATGGATTAAATAATTATTGTATGAACACCGATCGAATTTGAATATTAGGAGATAAAAGATGTAAGTTGGAAGATACAAAGAAAAATTTTGGAAAAGAATTGAATAATTATTAAAACTATTTTGATGAATATCGATCAAATTTAAACTAGGTGGAAATAAAAGATGTAAATACAAAAAAATTTGGACAACTTTTTTAAAGGTAAATAAGAAAGAATGCAGTTGTGAAAAGTTGCATAGAAGGATATTATGATAATCTGATCTCTTGATTGAAAATTTGAAGAATTAAAGATAGAAAAGATAGAAAAGAGAGTGGAGAATCTTTCGTCGAATGATAGAAAATAATAATTTAAAAATAAAGAATTTGTGAATTTGATCCAAGATTCATTGGAAAATGGAGGAATTCGATGTTCGAGAATTCTCTTCGACTCGAAGAAACTATACGTATGTGAAAAAAATATATAATACTCAATGCGTTTACAGAATTCATTTATTAAATGATTAGATCTAATCTTAATTATTGAATCTGAAATAAGATTTGAATGGAAAATAATTATACGTTATCACATTTTTTTTGCGATCATAATAACCATTTGCGGAAAAAGCAAAACGATTCAAGATAAAATCCTTGCCTTTTTTTTTTTTTTTCTTTACAAAACAAACTTAATTACACGCTTTACAATTGAAATTCAAAAAATTTGTAAATGAATCGAGCTTCTATGAAAAACGCTTTAAGGACATAAAAAAATATGCAAAAGTATAAGTATCATATACAATTTACATATTCACCAATAATCAAACCAAACAATATCTCCTTAAACAATTCCAATAACTCCATACACTCATAATTAATTACCATCCCACCCAATGCAAATAATTGTAAATAACATTTCTAAAAATTAATAAATTAATGGATCAAACGTTCAAGAGGATTAAATTAACCTACGAATCAAAAATCTTCCAATAATTCATTCCAACTCATTTACATTGGACAGTTATCCGTCAAACCACCATTTTTCCACCATTTCGATTCCTCGATCACTTACGACTCGAATCCAGAAAATCGATCCAGGCCACCCACTCGAGGAGAGCACGAGAGCGGAACGACGAGGATCTCCGCGAGACGCAGATAACGAG